GGGCTCTATGCTGACAGCTCGGAGCCTGGAGCCTGCTTCGGATTCTGTGTCTCCCTCTCTCTCTGCCCCTCCCCTGCTCATACTCTGTCTCTCTCTCAAAATAAATAAACATTAAAACATTAAAACAATAAATACTGACTTATATCATCTTGTTTGTTTCCACTGGAGGCAAAACCTGAATGCCTTACAAATTAATTGTGACAGGTCAGGTTTAGATGTTATGGAAAAGAATTTACTGAGCATGGAGAATTATAGATAGCTGAGGCTACAAACATCTCCTTTAAGAGAGAAATTATAATTACCTGAGTGTCACAGAATAAGCCTTAGCTTTGAACAATTATTGAAGGGAATTTTACTCTTTTTAAAAAATGTTTATTTATTTATTTTGAGAGAGAGCAAGAGAGATAACAAGTGGGGAAGGGGCAGAGAGAGAGAATCCCAAACAGGCTATCCACTGTCAGTGCAGAGCCCGACATGGGGCTTGAACTCACGAACCGTGAGGTCCTGACCTGAGCCAAAGTCAAGAGTTGGACACTTGACTAACTGAACCACCAGCTGCCCCAAAGGGAATCTTACCCTTATACGGGTGTATCATTCCTCCCCTTATAACAGAAAGGATTTCAGCTGGCCAGAAAGTAAAGTGTAATAATATTTAATCACAAGACTACAAATATATATAGGTGCATGCTACAATATTAAGAAATCACATTCCCAAATGTTCACCGGAAGCAAAATTCTCTACTGTGCATTTTAGATATATTGCTCCACTTAATTGTTACAATGTGTCTATGAGAGGAACACTATTATATCATCTTTTTAAAAATATGGAAACAGATCTGTAGAAGTATGACAACGATCAAGGTCAGTGGTGGATTGAGGATTCGGATTCACACCCTTGGGACCACAGAGCTGAAGTTAATTCCCACATCATGCTGTGGGCAACATACACTGTGTGTAGGTTTTCATCCCAGATGTCCAGTTACTAAATAAATGCAATGCCTTCTGTATCCCAGCCCATGAAGTTAGAGAGTAAGTCTGGGCAGAAAGACCTACATCTCAGTTTATAGTTTTCAGATACAGAATGTGACTTCACAGGTCAATGAGAATTCCAAAGGAGTGCAATTTCTGTATACTTATGTTTGGTGCCTAAAAAATACCAGTCAACGAGCTAACTTTGGGCAACAAAATCCATAGAAGATGGCCTGGCATGTAAACAAAGCTACGCTCACATATTTCTTGGTGTCTGTTCTATTATTACTTTGTTTGCCAGACCCCAAATGCCAAGGCCACCCAATTAAGAGATATGCCGAATTTTTCTTAAAACTGATTTAGGTTATAAAGGGGATACTTTTCACTAGTCCATATGATTTTCAGGATGATGCTAGTAAATATAAGAAATTATAGTCATACAGAAATAAATTCTTTCTTTTACAAAAGCCCTCAAGACAAAGAAAAAAACTAATTCAAGAAAGAAGTCATATCAGGAAAATGTCAAGAAGCAGCCAAGTCTACAAAAATAAATACTTCTATGAAAACACATGATGGATCCTTAATAGAGAACATTGAGCCAGGGTGATAATCTCTATTACAGAAGATTGTTTTATTTTGCTGACTTTCTGATACACGAACTTAGTGAAACATTTTATGTTAAGAATGACTAGCTTTAAATCTGGGTTAACAAACAAATTTGTGTAAAAGATACCGGTTTAAGAATACGCTTTTTGATCTATCCGTAGATAGGTCCATAGGGTGTGGAAGATGAACAGATTTTCCCTTAGGTTTTAGATCTTTGAGTAGATGAAAATACTGCTGCCCCGGGATTCTCACTGCAGCTCTAGCCAGTATGTGCAAAGGACCGGACCCAGCTCCCGCTACAGACAGAGGTTCGAACTGTGATGGGGGATGCGGGTACACGGGACAGGGAGGACCTCTTTCTGGCTTGTGAGTGACACAGAAAAACAAGTAGACCCTCCCCTAATTCTTCTGCCTCTGGCAAAAAGGAAGGAAACCACAATTCAGAAGGCATTGAAAAATTAATTCGACCCTTCTCTGTGACTGGTTGGCCAGCCTGAAGCCAGGACAAAATTCAAGTTACAAATGACAGGTAATCCCATCCTGCAGGCTGCATGGCCTCCGGCTTCCAGTGAAGTGTTCAGAGGAGAAGCAGAGAGAGGGAAGTGAGAATTTGTGGCAAAGTACAGATCTGTGTCTTCAGAAGCACCAAGGAAAAGCTCCTTGTTTTTTTGCATGATGAGTAATGCAAATCTAAATAATTTAATACAAGCTTATTTTTGTTTTATTAAACATTTTTTAATGTTTATTTTTGAGAGAGAGAGAGAGAGAGCGAGCAAGTGGGGGAGGGGTGGGGTGGGATATGCCGGATCTGAAGCAGGCTCCAGGCTCTGAGCTGGAAGCACAGAGCCCGACTCGGGGCTCCAACCCACAAACTGCGAGATCATGACCTGAGCCAAAGTCGGACGCTCAACCGACCGAGTCACCCAGATGCCTGCCTATTTTTGTTTTAAAACCAGAATTGTGCTTTCCTTTCTACCCCACACCCACCTACGGTACAAGCCTTGGAAGGCGGGCTGTATCTTTTCCTGCCACCCGGTGGCTCGGTCGCCTGCACAGGCAGTGGACTTGAGGCATCGCCAAGGTTGCAAAGACTTGAGGCCTGAGCGCTCATCCGGTTCGGAAATCCACTGTCTCACTAACACAAATGAGGTGTCAACACTATTTAGAATAGATTAATTGATTCATTTTCCACAAATGATCTTACGACAAAGAGGAAGAGGTGGGCGGGCAAACAATGCGAGGTTTGGAGATGCTGCAGTTCATCTGGGTGATGGGCTGGGCCACCGACTTCCTCATCCACCAGCGTTCTCTTCCAGTAAATGTAACAAGGAATCGGCTACATCTACCAATCATACAGAGGTGCTTGGGGAAAATAAACTAGCACCACTAAAGATGCAATATTTGCAGTTGTAATATGACTCAAGGGGGTTGTCTTGATGGCTTGGGGTCTGGAGGCAGCCACGCTGGCACTGGATCCCAGCTCGACTGTACATGAGCTACGAGATGCTGGGAAGTTAGTTGATGTTCCAGGTCTCACTGTAAGTGGGGGTAAGAATGCTTTTCTTGGGGCTCCTGGGTGGCTCTGTAGGTTGATGTCTGACTGTTGCTTTCAGTTTCGGTCATGATCCCAGGGTCATGGGATCAAGCCCCACATTGGGCTCTGTACTGGGCGGGGAGCCTACTTGGGATTCTCTCTCTCTCTCTCTCTCTCTTTCTCTCTCTCTCTCTTTCTTTCTCTGCCCTTTTCTCTCCTCTCTCTCAAAAAAAAGTGCTTTTCTTGCAGGCTGTTGTGTTAGAGTAAATGTGCACAGAAGTCAATCTATAAATGACAGCAATTATTATTCCTGTGATTATTTTTAAAATATTGAAGACAGTGCATTATGTGTTGACAATCTCTACGGGGGGTATCATCATCATCAACACGAAACAAAGTCACCAACGTGAAACAAAGTCATCAACACAGACTATCTCCTCCTCTGGTTTGTCGCTGGTCTGGCAGAACCTTGTACAGACTCCAAATCTATTTCTAAATTCTGACCGATGCAGTAAAGTTTTAACACAAAGTGTTAAGCATAAAATGCTTTTCGAGTTTTGAGTCTTACAAATTTATATAAGATGGAATGAAATATTCATCATCTATAATACATTCTATCGTCCTACAAGGGGTACATAAATCTCATGGCATAATTACACCCTTGACTACTGTGACCTTTGAAGATGCACATCTGCTTGGAAAAATGATAGAATAATTCCTCCTCAGTGGAAAACATCTGAGTTTATCTTTAAAATAGGCTTTAAATGAAAAATTCCTACACACTTAATTTTTACCACAGTGGTTCGCCTTCAGTTTCTTTGAGCTTGATTTGTCTAACAGCCCACCAGAAACTACGAATCTCATGTTGCCTCGGATCTACACACAACTCTCATTTGTCTGAAGTCCAAATGAAATTATTTTCTCCATGTTTGTTTTCCAAGGAGATGCCCACATTCTACAGAAATGGAGTAGAAAGCAAATTGGAAACATTCATGCTGTTGATTGATGCTCTCTTATGAAACTTTTCAGCAATTCCTGTGTGCTCAAGTCAGGAAAATTAGGATGCCTCCCCTACATATTCAGAGGCAATGCACGCAACATGGGCAGCAGCACAGTTCAATTTCTTTGAACACTTCCTGAGCCCCTCCCCTTTCCCAAGCACAGCGAGAGGAGCCCCGGAGGAGTGAAGGAGAGGCTGAGGCGGGGAACAAGAGTCTGGGGGCAGGTGAGGTGACGACACAGGAGGACGGAGGAAGGGAGAGAAATAAAAAGGCATCCTTGCCTCTTCTTGCTAGCTCTGGAGCTGTTTCGTCATGTGTCTGACTCAACAAATGGCTTCGGCAGACTTTAACCAGTGTCCTTCCTGCCTTTGGACTCTGGAGAGGAGCTCCCGATAGGGCGCCCCTGTGTTGTGCGTGGGTATCAGGCATGTGCTCATGTCCCTCCTTCCCACACACACTTCTGGGTCGCAAATCATGCATTTTTGAGAGACCAGGTAAGTTTAGGGGTGCCCTCTATTTTGGATATTACTGGAACTCTTGTGGGAGTCTGAGGGCCATCCACTGTGCCTGGGAGGTTGCAAGGCACAGGGGAAAGTCCGCCCTGCACGACTTTGACATGGACCTTGGGAACCAGAGCGGGAGACAGGTGGAGTTGTCCTACGATGGGGGCTTTACAAACGGCAAGTAACTGGACTCATGTCACCCCTGAGACCCTTGATGTAGTTAGCCAGGGAGGAGCCACAGAGGCCACACATCAGGATGCTGCACTGTCAAAATCGAGCTGTCCCATCACCTGCCCTTAATTCCATGAACGAAGCTACTATTCAGTGTTCTACGCCTTCTTTGTTCTGAATATTTCTCATTAAAAGAAAATGAAAGAACAATCTTACCCATGAGGAATTTTGCTCAGGACATAGTATCCAGTGTAGGAGTGTTGGTATATCTGAAACAGACACGACAGAACACAAAAAAAGAAAACAAAGCAAGCATTGAGACAAAGGCTGTGACTGTGATATTTTTCAGATCACTGTGAATCCCAAAAAAACATTAGGGGGACGAAAAGGAGTTAATCAGGAGACCCGGAGGCAACATCTTTAATTTACTTAGGAAGTTAATTTGCACATCCTGTTTATTTTACTTTTGTCATTTGCACATTGTTTACAGGGCAGCCAGAGGCTCGATATTATCCCCATAATCAGCTGGTTTTTGTGATTAAATCAGGGGCACAGATTTCCAGCTCAACTACGTGCAGTACAGCGTGAATGAGGTCACCAGAGGCAGTCAGTCAGCTGGACCCAACGGGACTGTGAGACCCTTGTAGCGTAGGACTTCCCTGTAAATGACGGCACATTCCATTGTGTATCCTCAGTGAATACAGACGCCAACACATGCTTCACTGGGCAGCCCCCTGTCCTGCTGTAGAATGTGATGTGCACCTTTCAGCTTCGGAGAGGGGTCAGCAAATTAAGAACTCAATGCAACAGGGAGCATGGCTTTTAAAACTAAGGCAACAAGCAAAACTCTGTCTCCAAACTCCTATAAGCCCCAACCTGCAGCCTCTCTTAAACTCTTGAGCCAGGAGAGGATTTCCCGACCCATAAATGCAATGAAAGGAATGCAAGGAATGACCAAGAGAAGGGACAACACACAATGCAGGAAGTCTCGGCATTCACCTCCTGCTTTCTGGACAGAGAGCCTCCCCAGCATTGGGATGTGATGGGTTACTCTGCAGGGTTGAAGCAAGGAGGTACCGTAGTCCCTTTCTTCTACCTGTGTACTTTCTGAGAGTCAACACTCTGTGTGGGTAAACGTTCAGTGACCAGCATTTAAAACCACCTTCCTAGGGGCGTTGGGCTGGCTCGGTCAGAGGGGCGTGTGACTCTTGATCTTGGGGTTGTGAGTTTCAGCCCCACGTGGGGAGTAGAGATTACTTAAATAAACAAAGTGTAAAAAGAAAAAAGAAACCACTTTTTTTTTAATGTTTATTTTCGAGACAGGGAGAGAGAGTGTGAGTGGTAGAGGGGCAGAGAGAGAGGGAGACACAGAATCGGAAGCAGGTTCCAGGCTCCGAGCTGTCAGCACAGAGCCCGATGCAGGTCTTGAACCCATGAACTGCGAGATCATGACCTGAGCTGAAGTCAGACGCTCAACTGACTGAGCCCCCAGGTGCCCCACAAACCACCTTTCTAAAGATAATCGGTGAGGAATGTGTGGGCCAAGGAAGACAGATCCATCATGAAGCACATAGAGTAGAGGAATATATTGGGGTGCTGAGGACAGAGTGAGCCTGCCAAAGAGAACAGGCAGGACTGTGCTAAGCTCAACAACCCCCTGCCTTGTTGGGGCCCCGGGATTAACTTCCGGACAATCTTGGCGGATTGCATTGCTTGGAGAAAAGGAATCCAGATACAAAAGTAAACAACAGCCTTTAAGCCCAGAAGATCTTTTGCTTCTGAAGATCCCAAGGCTCTGGCACCAGAATGATGGGATGTGGGGTGGCCTGCTGGGGACAGTGGGTGGCATCTGACTGGGAAACGTGTCCAAATACTGCTTTGGTTATGAATAAATAGCCAGCAGGCACACGACTGTGCAGGAGAACTTCACGGACCTGCAGGGCGACTGATAAGGAGCAGAGGAACCCAGCTCTGCTATTTCTGAAGTGACGCTGCTTCCCCAGGAGAGAAGGGAGGGCCTAGACAGCGCCCACCAAAGGACCCTGTGCTTTGACTACACTGCCTCTGAGCTGGATGAGCTTCCTCAGATGCAAGAACAGAAGCTCGACAGACACAATGCAATTCTCTGCAGTCACGGGACATGGGCCCTGTGCTACACGGCACTCCTAAACTCCGGAGGCACCTGCTCATTCTGTTTAATCTCACTCTATTGTCATGGTGACCCCAGGCAGGCAAAAGGTAACCTTTGTTTGCTAAGATAGGAAAGTGAGGTAGGCAAGGGCAGGGGAGAGAGGAAAAGGAGGGGGAGGGGAGGAGTGGAGGCAATAAGGAGGAGGAGGGGGAAGAAGCGGTGGAGCCTAATTCTGGGACTCTATCATATAGAGGCAGCACAAATGATGGTATGAGACTTCAGAGACCAGGCTGTCAAAGGAATCCTGACTTCCTGCTGGCTCTCTTTCAGGTCATTGCTCTGGGGGAAGACAGCACCATGCCATTAAGAACCTTAAGCAGCCCTTGGGAGAGGTCACGTGGTGAGCAACCAAGTTTCCTCTCCAACAGATCACCAACAGCCAACGAGGAGCTGGGGCATCTTGCCAACAGCCACATGAGGGAGCTTGGACGTGCAGTCTTCATCCCCAGTCTAGCCTTCAGATGATGCCGCCCTGGCTGACACTCATGACAGACCATGACCCAGAACCACTCAGAAGAGAAGGTCTTGGATTCCTGACCCACAGTAACTTCAAGATAATAAATGTTGGTTGTCTTCAGCTGCTCAGTTCTTATACAGCCATACAGAAGTGACAGATCTAGTTTAAACCCAGAGGAAAAAGGGTAACTATTCCATCAGATAGGTACAGATTTCTAAGTTACTGGATTCCCTCCTATAAACCTTCGGCAACTTTTAAAACAAACAGAAAAAGAAATCCCTTATCAAATCAGTTTCAGTACAGAAGTGAGGGGCTGGGTAAGACCACTCGTAGACCAAACACTTGAAGGACGTCTTTGACATTACTGTACAGGGCAGCCCAAAGTGTCAGAAGTGATGATGGGGGTGAGGCTGGGGAAGTGGAAGGTGAGTGGCTAGTGTTCATGGAGAATGTCCTACCCATCAGGTGGTGTGCCAGCCCCTCGGAATACTGAAGTCACTCAATTTCTATGAATAGGCATTAACACCCTATTCTGAAGACAGGAAAATTGAATCTTAAGGAATTCAAATCAAGCTCAAGCAAGGTGTGAGCTGAGGTCTGTCTCTCTCTGATCACTGTGTTGGAAACTGTCTGAACAAAGGGCATATCTCTTAACTCTCAAGTTACAAGTCCAAGTTGATGGCTGTCAACTGAAGAATCCAGGATCCCAACTGATACAATGACCATGCAAAACTTCATGGTTGAAGGACTATTCCTTTTTTAAAAAAATGTTTATTTTTGAGAGAGAGAGAGAGAATGCCAGCAGAGGAGGGGCAGAGAGAGAGGGAGACAGAGGATCTGAAGCGGGCTCTGTGCTGATGCGGGGCTTGAACCCACAAACAGCGAGATCATAACATTAATCAGGGTCGGACTGTGACCGACTTAACCGACTGAGCCACCCAGCAGCCCCAGGACTATTTCTTTAATCCATCTGGACATGGTGATTTCCATTTACTCCCCGGTCATGCCATTCTCACACAAACACCCAAAGTTGGTCTTCACATGCCTCTTTAAACACACCTCTGCCTCTGAAATTCAGCCCTGGGAGTATCTTCTGACTGGGACCAATGAGAAAAAAGGAGACTGAACTGAAATAACCTCACAAGGTCAATGGTAAGAAGAAAATGAGAGAATTACCCATCCTCAATTCTATGCCTGTACTGTTGGGTTAAAAGAAAAAAAAAAGCATGTGTGGACAGAAAATGTGGTAAAATATCTGGAATACCGAATCACTAATTAGGAAGACGGAAACAAAAATGGGAGTGTTTGGGTGGCTCAGTCAGTTAAGCATCTGACTCTCGATTTCACCTCAGGTAATGATCTCACAGTCTGTGAGTTCGAGCTCTGTGTCTGGCTCTGTGCTGATGGCATGGAGACTGCTTGGAATTCTCTCTCTCCTTCTCTCTGCCTCTCCCCTGCTCATGCTCTCATGCTCTCATTCTCTCTAAAAATAAATAGATAAAAGCAATTTTTTAAAAGAAAGGCTCTAATTTAAAAAAAGTTGGAGAGGATGTAGGAGAGACAGGTAAAATCTGGATGTGCCAAGCACGCACGTGAAAGAAGCTGTCTGGGGTGAACGTTAGCACAAGTGGGACCCTTAGGAAAGAAAGTGCACTTAGGACTGAAGAGCTGCTCTTACAAAAGGATGGACGAGGGAGGGCCATGTCACAACCTTCTAAGATGGAACAATCAAGTATCACTCTCTTCCACAAAGTGTTCTCTCAGCCCAGAGCCAAGAGAACCACGGACACAAAAGAAAACTACTCTTTAAAGAGAAAATGCCTGATCTTGAAAGGAATAAAAAAAAAGCGACATGTCACTGGAAGAATTTGTTCCTTAGAAAGTCTTTCTTTTTCTTTTTTTTCTGCTCTCTCTGTTGTGTTTATGTTTCTTTCTTTAAAATAGACTTAATACTTCTGATCATGGAAAAAAGTACAGGGCTGGAAGTTGGTAAGAACACATCTGGTTATTTTTCTAAGAGCGCACTTTTGGGAGTTCATGGATTTGAGTTATTTTGGTTTCTTCCTACACTATCAAATTCCCCATGGAAAATGAATATATAAAAACCTGTTACCCAAAATGCGATTCACAAGATGGGAAAGCAATTTCAGCAAATTTTCTTTCTGATATGTTATGAAAAATGGTTGATACTGGCATCCAAAAATTGGAATAAATATAACCAGTTGAAGGTTCTTCCTGGGAGAAGTTCACATTTGGTTTGCTTCTTCTAGTTTCGAAACACCTGCCCACAGGTCATCCCCTCTGCCCTCCATCGCTCCCGCGGAGCCATACTTGTTGTCTATGGTCTTCCCTACCTCAGCCTCAGTGCTGACACTCATGACCCATTGTGCACACTCATGCAGACTCACTTTCCATCCTCTTCCTCTACAAAATCATCTACTCCTGTGGTTTTAAACCACACTTCCACCTAGGCATCCCTACCTCACACCTCACAAGGACCAAAACCTCAATATTCTCCAAAATAAACTCTTCAACGATCCTTAAAACCTAGTTCTCCTTTGATATGTCCCATATGAGTTGGTGGTTTCATCATCCACTCAGTAAACTGAGCTAAAAACGTA